TGGGGCGCATAGCCTTTTGCAATCCACTCTTTTCCTTACTTTTTCCCCCCTTGCCTCTTTCTGCTACTGCTTCTCTCACCAGATACACTGAGGTGTTTTATAGGCTGTTTGCTAAAGTGTAAAAGCATAACAGGGCCCCCTCTTCTCCCCTGTTGCCTCTTCGTTGCCTCCTTCAGCCCAAAGAGACTCATTGGAGTGCAGCTCTCTCCTCCTTGGCAACTCCTCTGTTAAGATTTAGAAGCAGAGTGTGTGTGATGCATGTGGGTGCGTAGACCCCCACGCAGACTTCCCAGAGCACTTAATCCCTCTTTTCTCCTGACATTTTTCACTTTTGAAACTCCCCCTATATGGACGATGCGAATGCTACAGCTTTCACAACATGCTGGCCCGAATGCACGCTGAATGTTTTCCCCACTTGTGCAGCCGGCTAGCACACAGGCGCAGGGGAGGCGGCTCGTGGCTTCGTCTGAATGCTGCACCGGGTTCCCCTCCATTATGCTGCCAGTGGATGCTTCATGTTGCAGGAGGCGAGAGAAATGGAAGGAGATGGAGGCCCACAGCATCAGAATTTACTTTCCCATTTCCTCACACACGCCCACACACATTTGGATCTTGATAGCAAAGCCCATTGAACCACCCGTGAACGCAGGCAAACACAGTCACATACCACCACACTGGGAATTTATTGGTTTTCAGCCGTATTAATATGCATTCGGCAGCAAGAGAGTGCGGTGTTTTCTGCGGCTTCTTGGAAGACGCGGCTAATTATTTCAGAGAAAACCTCTCTGTCGTTTATCAGAGCTCCACACCTGCTGTAAGCGGGCTCGGCTCTCAATCTGTGGGATTTTATTGTCTCATTATAGACCTCGGGGAGGAAAAGCGGCTACTGCTTCGCTTGTGTACACGGCCCCAAAGCGAAAACATCACATAGATGCAAAATAAGTCATTGTTCGTGCACTTGAGCACAACACTCCCATCTTTTTGTCCTGCAACACACTGCTTTAAAGTAATGCATATCAGCGAGGGGTTTGGATCGTTTGTTGAGAGAGGAGTTCAGGCGGATATTTTTATGCTCCTGCATGTGGAACAAAAAATGTTTTTCTAGCCTTTTTAATTACCCTTAACGACATGCTCAGTGGCTCTTTCTTGGTAGTCACGTTTGGACGTTGGGCTCATGACTGCTATGATTAATGAAGTTTATTGAAAACGTTGGTTTTCTGTTTGCGTTTATTTTCGTTTCCAGGAGAATCATCAAAAATGTGTCTGAGCACAATAGATACTGTGAAGGCTGTCTAGTCAAAACAGGTCAGAGAAGGCAATTTTCTCTGTTTTTGAAAGTTACTTGTTTAGAAGAACAGTGATTTTTAATAATGTGGTCCATTTCTACTTGAAATTAGGAATTTTCAAGTTCTAATCTGGGGGGAAAAATGCTGGAAAGTTGGTAGATCCGCTCCAAGATAAACATAAAAATCCAGAAAGGCTGTCAAGATAGATTTTTTTTTTCACTCTTCCTGTTACAAGGAAGTTTTTCTTTCCACTATTCCCTTGTGCTTGCTTGAGGAATAGGTGCCAATTTGCTAACAAAATGCAATTAGCTGAATTGAATCAACTACTTGTATATGTTGTTAGTGGTCTACCTAAGTGATCCTTGTTTGGTTTAGCCAAACAAATTTCCTTTTTACATATGTGCAATATTATAGCAGCTATGTCTTTACCTATATCTTTGTTTAGTTGCTTTTGCAATCCCATTTTGAGCTAAAGAAATATTTCCCTGCCAAAAATCAACAAGCTAAATGGTTGTGAAGGGACACAACCATGATTCAGTTTCCTCTTTCTCAGAACAGACATAGAAAAATAGACACACATGTCTCTAACAGTTTCAGTTCTGTTTTTGTATTATTAATAGTTGGAATTGCGGCATTTATAGTTGACTTTGACATCTGATAGTTTCTTAGCAAGAAAGCCTCTTGGACTATTTGTCACTTTCTCATTCAGCTGATACATTTTCGAATAAACATCAGGAAACCTCAGTCATTATCATTTTCCCTTTTTTTTATCTTTCTCTGTCTGTTTGTGTGAATTATCTGTACATTATAAGTATAATCAGTTTGAGATGCATTGGAGGGTTTTCAACCAAAACTTTGACTGAGCCTATAGCAAAATGGCCTTCATTTCACGCTTCCAATTATCGTCCTGCAGGATAAACAAAATCTGCTTTACAAAGAATGTGGCTGGCCAATTAATTAATCATTTCGGAGGTAGAGACGTTATTTTTGAAATAAAACCAGGTTGGCTTGGGAAGCTTTTTCTCCTTAAATAAAAACCTCATTTGAAAGCTGCTTTTTGTGTTTACTTGGAGTATAATTGTCTGATACTGACGTTGTTGGAGGACCTGAAACATTTTAGCAAAAGCCACACAAGAAATCTGTGAGGGGAAACATTTTCATAGAGTTATACATGGATAACCTAAACAAACATATTAAAGCTGGTCAGAGGAAATCCCACAGTACTCCACTTAACCAACAGACAAACTATTACTATTTGTCTTCTTTGTCCTTTCTCATATAATCTTATCAGTTTCTGGGGGCTGGAGAGAGCCACATCACACGTAAGCTGATCAGCAACATAGGAGAGAGTATATTTGTTTAAGCTATTTTGCTTTAGATGTCACAGTTGTGGTTTTGATTCTTTTAGTGCATTTAGCCAAATTTTAGACTAAAATGAAAACCTTTGTTTTTGCTGGGGAGGGAGTTGCTGAATCTTCCTTTTTTCATATGATCATAAACTGAACATGATTAGGTGTTTAGACAGCTTCATAGTACATTACAGTGCTGCTCCCTTCTCGTTTTTCTGTAGGGATGTGCCATCTGAGCATCAAACAGTGCGTGCAAGAATCACATCGCTTTTTTATTCCGTCTTTTTTTTTTTTACTGGCTCAGCGGCGACCTCTGTCAGTGACGGGAACGAAATTGTGCTCGACAGTCGGAAGGGTCAAAGAGCTAAGAGCAAAGAGAAAGTCATGAGGAGAGGACTAAGCAAAGGATTAGAGAGTTGCCAAGCAACCCAGCATCAATCAGTGAGCTGGTGGAGTTTAATATGTGAATATCAAAAGGAATACTTAAATGGAGTCATTTTTTTATTTAAAGATACAGTACTACAGATTATTTTTTGCAGGGCTTTGGAAAAAATATGAAGCTTTTTCACAATTAGTCAATTTGAATTGTGCAAATAATGGGCTCAAATTTGTAAGATAAGCCAAGAAAAACTCTATTGTTCCTAGAAATGGAAATCTGGGTCATATAACAATATAAATCTTAATCAAAATAATTAAAAATGAATAAATAAATAATGTGGTCCGCACTAATGAGTTTATGTGTTATTTCTCTGGTTTAAGTCCAGTTTGAAGTTTCACCGTCCCGCACATCAATGTCCAAAACATACATTCAGAGCTATAATTGATTGAAATAAAATTATAGTCATGTGTCTTATTGGCTCAATTGAAGTTCAAGTTTGGGGAGGTGAAAATTGCTGGTCAAAATCCAATTATTTTTGCAAAACCGAAGAAAAAAAATGACACCTTCGGAAGGTGAAAATCTATTTGCGACACATCCAGCGTTTCATGTTTTGTTCAATCGTGAGGACTTCAGCGAAAAGACATAAAGATTGTATCTGTAACAAAAGTAGATATTGTTGCAAGGCGATATGCATATTATCAACACACTTAAACTTTTTTTCTATACTTTGCATTATTAATAGTGCATAAATCTTGCTTCTGATATTTAAAATATATTAATAATTATCAGAGTGATTCTCATCTATATTGTGTCCTTTCTTTCTTTCCTTTTTGAATCCCTTATCACAACATTTCCATCTAAAACAAGAAAGCTACAAGTGAGGTGACCAAGAAGAAAGCCTGGTTCGATCCAACAACATACCTGACAACCATTCAGTTAAAACTTCCTTTGTTTTTGCTTATTCGATACATAAAATGATAAGCCATGTATATGGGAACAGCCAACTCCTCCAGCCTTTTCGTAACACTGCAAAGATAAGCAGGTTTTGATGATGAATGAATATTTCACCCCACTTTCATCTGATATTCGTCCCTTCCCCTTTTCTTGTCCTCCATTAGATGAGATGTTGATAGAAGCAACGTTTTAAATCAACACTGGCTGCTGGGAGCCTTCTGTGCAGCACAGTTAATACATCTTTCAGTCTGTCAGGGGAAATTAGCAATTCCAAGTATTTCTTACCTGAGGAAAAATGGAAAAGGAAAAAAAAAACTGTTTCCAATAAGACAGATGGAATCACTGAGATAAGTCCTAACAGCATGTAAACATCCCCTCAGAGATGTTTAGTCTTTCAAATACGGCATACTTCTTTTCTCCAATTAATCATAAACACAAACGTCCTAAAATGCTAAAATTTGGATTCAGAGATCCTACACAGTCTGGGAAAGAATGGAATTTGATTTTAATATTTTAAGGCATTGATAAGAGTGTGAAAAAATGTTTAAAGAAAATTGTTATTCCAAAATTTGTTTCTCATCCATATTGTGTCCTTTCTTTCCTTCCTTTTTGAATCCCTTATCACAATATTTCCATCTAAAACAAGACCTGCTTATTCTTATAACTACACAGATACATTATTTGTTCATCCTTTCATTGGCTGACCAGTTTTATAGTCAAAGCCCTCTCTCTGCTACAGTCAGGTTAGTTTGGGAGAGATAGATAATAGGGCTGAAATGTTGAGTTTTATCATGGAGTAACTACAGATGTACTTAGCAGAGTAAAAATGTTGATTTTCCATCATAGAATATGGATTGCTCCTGTATGCATAGCTGGACGCTGGATGCTGTTTTCACAGAGTGGTGATGTGTCTGCTGTGGTTCCCTTTTTTGTCCGTGTTTGCAGTACATTTGTGACCTCTGCATTGTCCTGCCACGAGCCCCAAATGACCACAAGTTTAATTATAAACATGTTTCTCTGTCTCCCTCTCAGCTGATTTCCAGTGATGCAGATGGGGCCATTCACAGGGCGGGACGCTTCAGGGTGGAGAACGGCTCATTAGATGAGGTACAAATAATATCACATTCTTCTTGTGCAAATCTCTGTACATTTCCATCCATCCATACATCCATATATATATATCACCTCTTATGTTCTGCAAGGTAAGTAGTAACGTTGCAATTAACTTGGCACGAGGTCTGGAAAAATGAAACATGTCATTGAAGTTTCGTCCGACATTTTTTTAAAAAGTGCACAGAAGCATCTGTAAATACTAACATGTTGTCGTTAGTCTTGCCATGTGTGTTGATTTTAGGAAAATGATTTTATGTGGCTTTAAATAACGACGTGTTACGACAGATAAAGTCCTGGTCGCCATGGCTTTGAATTTAGTGGGTTGCTTTCAGTGTGCTCACATCCCCCAGCACTCACGTTGTATAGGTTGGGTCCGTATTTATGTCTCTTTCATGCTTACGGACCATTTGGCAGCTGCATGGTGATGCTATTATTAGGATTGTAACCTGGCAGCAAGACGGTCTGGGGTTCAAATCCAGATCAAGGCTGTTTCTGCATGGAGTTTGCATGTTCTCCATGTGGGTGAGTGGGTTCACACCGGGTACTCCATCTTCCTCCTTCAAATAAAAATATCACGAGTGGCATGATGATCTCTAACATGCTCTTAGGCATGAGTGTGGGTGTGTGTGCATGTGTGTGTGCATGATTGTTTGTCTTGTGTGTCACTGTACTGCCCTGTCCAGCTTGTAGCCCACCTCTTGCCTAGTGACTGCTGTAGATAGTTATGGATAAAAAAGGACAATTGACCATCTTGGGGTAAATGTTCAGTGCTGTATGAGTGCCCCCAAGTGGTCAGTAATGATTTGCTCAATCACCTAGAAAGCATTGCCTAAAGAATAAAAAAACAGGCAGGATTTGCTCCCATGCTTCTGTCTATTGTCGTTGCTGTCTCAGGTGTTGTATTATATAATAAGAGAATAACTTTGTAGCTTTCAACTGGTACGCTTTTTGCTCCTACAAACCAATGTTCAACTTTGATAGCAGACAGTTGGTTCTTTATGTCTGATTTCCTGTCTTGTATTGAGAAAGAATTGCTATTTTTCAAGGCATGACCATCAGAGTGATAAAGCGTGTGCGTTCATGTGTGTGTGTGTGTGTGTGTGTGTGTGTGTGTGTGCGTGTGTGTGTGTGTGTGTGTGTGCGTGCGTGCGTGCGTGCGTGCGTGCGTGCGTGCGTGCGTGCGTGCGTGCGTGCGTGCGTGTGTGTGATAAGCAGGCTTCAGACTACACTCCAGGAACATGGAGGAGAACCGATGTCCATCTGGAAAATCCAGAGTACCACACCAGATGGTACTTTAAGTACTTCTTGGGAAAAGGTCAGTGGTGCTCCGTTGAGGCTCTGTTTAGAAAAAAAAAGAAGAAGATTACTCAAAGAGGCAGTTTAAAAAAAGACTGAGAAAAGAAACAGAAAGGGTGAGACCGAGACAAAGACAGTGAGACGGCTTTCAGGGCCTGCAGAATCAAATCATCCCCTGAACGTTTTCTCCGGTGCACAAAATGCTTCATATGGTAAACATTCAGTCTTGTCTCTGTGCTGCATCACTCTTATTTTGTAACTGAAATCAAAATGTATTCCAGCTCAACTAAACGCTAATCTCACACACTGCCTATGGAGAAAACCCTTGGAGAAAATGCAGCACAGTCTCAGTAGTCAAAGTAATGTCACCTTCCACGCATCAAGCTTGCAATAACAGAGAAAGTCAAAAAAGAAAGAAAAACATCTAAATTAGTCGCCTATTCCTTCACCTCTCTGACTCTCATCATTTCAACATCCTCATTAACTTGAAGAACCTGCCCGTTCTGCGACTCACGGTGTAGGTGGCGACACAAGTGGCACAACAGAAGATAAAAAGTCTGCATTCCTTAACCGCAATTTAAGCCAGAAAGAGCACAGCCGTCTGAAAGGTTGAGATAAATTATACAACCTGTGGTGAATACAGACACTTCTGAGGGAAAGTTAGTTATATAAATAAAAAAAACTACGACGAAAGAAAATCCACCCAAGATCTAATGAGGCTGCGGAATAAGGAGTTTAAAAATGAGCCGGTTCTGAAGAAAGTTGGCTCGACCTGTTTGGACCACAGCTGAGCCATCTGTGTCTCACAGCCTGAGCGTAGCTCCCTGCGCCCGACAACACATGATGAACTAGAGGCCACTTCCTGTGTGATGGAGCACCTGCATTTATAGAGTGGCATGAATTCACCTTTTATTAATGATCTGGTAAAAAAATAATAATAATAAAATTAAAGAATAAAAAAAAATCTACTGTTTTCTGGAATTAAAAATCATAAAATAAAGAGTTTTCCAAACAAAACCAAAAGAAAACAATGCACAGTCATTGCTTATCTAAGGCATAAAATATGCCAATGAACAAATGGCTAAATTGGAGTCTAACTAGATTCAGAGATTTGCGTAGCGTTGCTTCTAAAGATGTGACATGATCAACTGCAGAGAAGGAGGCATGAATAGTCTGACTCAAAGGTTTAACAACCCGCGTTACGACTTAATGAAATCTTACATATGACAAAGTAACAATACCATAATAGATAAAGACAGTGCAAAACAGCAGAGACGAGAAAGGAAGAACTGCGTGTATGTTTGTAATGGTGCCATTATAATAGCTTTTGATTTTTTGTGTACGATGCCTCACAAAAGCATCAATACAATTTGAGCATTTTTCCATTTAGTATTTTATTTGATAGATCCATCAATGAGAAGTGGAAGGAAGAGGACATATGGTTTTCAAAGTGTTTTTTTTTTTTTTTTCACGGGCATGCATTTGTATTCAGGTCACTTCATTCTGACACCCAGAAATAAAATGTAGTGGAATCATTTACCTGGAGAAATCACACAACTAAAGATAGTCTGCCTGTCTGTATCTTAGTGGGAGTGTGAATAACAGCTGTTCTGTGATTTGGTTTGTTAGAGAACTGAAAACTAACACTGTAAAGCAAGCAGATACGAATTCATGCTACGCTTTTCAAAATTTGGACTCCCTTCACACACACCCCGAAAAATACCTTAAAGTTTGCAGCTGCAACATGTAAGAAACTTCTAAAAGCAATGAGTACATTTGCGAGACAGTACTAAACTTGCATCCATGCATCGCCTTTCTCGTCCTTCAGTCCACCAGAACTACGTGGGTACAGATGCCGAGAAAAACCCTTTCTACCTGTCGGTCGTCCTCTCTGACCAGAACAACCAGCGGGTCCCTCAGTACCGAGCCATTCTCTGGAGAAAAACGGTGAGCTGACCTGATTATTTACCAAAATGGACAGAGTTAAACTCTAAATACCTCTTCCAGAATTTTTAAATCTGGTGAGCAAGATGAATGTCAATGTGGAGAGTCTTTTGAAAAAACATACTTTACCAGCAATACTGCCTCACAATATTCTCCACAAATCGAGTGTTTGTTTTTTTAAGCACTGCAGCAAACAAAATGCATAAATATTTTCTTCTTTCATGTATTGTTGAAGGAATATAAAGATGCTGAGACTGCTATGTTTTGGGACCTTGCTAGTCCACCTTTGAGTCCTAGTGTGTGTAGGATGCCAGTTCCTCGATGTGTGTTTGCTGTTTAGTGATTCAGTTACATGACCAGGACAGCAGGGATCTAATTTTGCTCTGCAGCCTCATCTGGAACCTGATTAGGGCGTTGTACCTCCGCTGCATGAGCACATTGATTTGTCCCTTTTCTGACGAGACTTTAACTCATGCAGGATGTTTGTGTCGTCTGTGTTCTGCAACAGAGCAACTCTGCAATTATTCTGTCTTTAATTGAAGGGAGCCCGACTGGCTATAGTAGCCTGTAGGGTAGAGTTGTGGAGGGCATCCTATTTGCACGTAAAATCTACGAGGAGCAGCAGGAAAGCATGTTTAAAACATGGACATTGACACTGAGGTGGCTAATGTGGTTTTTAATTCCGGATGTTTGTTGCTCTTATTCACTCAGGGAACTTTGAAGATCAGCCTACCGTACAGTCCGACTAAAACACTATCAGTCAAGTCCATCTTAAGGTGAGAGACAAGCACAACTTTTACTTTACGTTTTATCAAGATCTGGTTTCACATACGTCGCTTCTGAGCCATCAGACCTCAGCCTTGCATGGTAAGATGGAACCAGAGTTTTTCTTATTATTCACATTGGACTTTATGCAACAGGTCCAAAATACAAAGGGTTGTATGCCTGCAGCATTTGCAGGTTTGGGGATATATATTCAACTTTTCAACCTTTATGTAGACTGTGAATCCATACACTATGAATCAAATCCGTTCTCTTGGTTGTTAGAAATTAGCAATGCATTATGGAGATAAATAAGGAAAACTAATGTGCTGATCTTAAATCATTTGAATAAGTAATATTTTCTGATTAATTCATACTGAATCCTATTTCATTATGGTTATGATCTGCACGCGAGCCAGTGGAATCCCTCTGGTAGCCAGTGTTTAGTTACATTTAAAGAAAAGTTTCATGATGGCAGCATAAATAAAACGTCAACGTTTACTTTAAATCATTAAACAAAATTACAAAAAACAATGAAGCAAACCTCTTGAATGAGCTTTGGTTTATAAGCCTCTTAAGAATAAAGTTATTGCTAATGCGTTTCTTCTCTTTTCTACAACACTTTTTCCTTCCACTCAACTTTCCATCAAGATTTTTGGACACAACACTCACAAAAGGCGACATTATTACCAATAATAATTTGTGACGTATCGTCCTACTGCCCTTCTGCTTTCCACAGGATTCTGCAAAGAAATTAACAGAAACAAATATTAAAAATATATCACATTGTCTGTTATGAATCTGCTTCATTTGATTTATATGTCTAACTTAAATAAATGACATTTTTGATTATATTCTTATTTTGTCTGTCACTGAAATAAATATGTGAATCTAAAGGATTCAGAATCTAAACTCTTTACTCTGTGATAACTATTAAATTGCATAAAATTGACAAGATGTGCCCTTCAACATTATTGCCCTTAAAAATAAAAACGACATTTGACAAAATTAGCCCATATATTTCCTTTACTTAATAGATGTTTTGGCTATTTGCACAGAAGATGTTGTGTTTCAGGCAGCAAATGCCAGACGAGAAATAGGATATAAGAAGCTGCATGACAGAGGAGATTGGAAATGATAAATTCCTCAGGCTGGGAAGGATCACCAGTGAAACTGAAACAAGTTCAAATTGTTCAAATTAAGATGAGAAATCCCCCGTTTCAGTTCTCATTTTTCAGTATGACTTTCTGAGCCTCTGGCCTTCAGTCATTCCTAAATCCCTGCTTTTTGTTCTCTCTTTTTTCCCCACCCCTCTCCTGCTCTTCTTCCAATATTTCATTTCCTCCTCATCTTTCCTCGATTACAGTGCAATGAACATGGACAGGTTTGAGAAAGGCCCGAGGGAGATCCTCAACCCAGAGATTCAGAAGGTGAGAGTGACACCGGAGCGCCAGCCGGCTCCCCCCCGTTCAAAACCGAGCGGCGGTTCATTTCACGCCACGCCTGATCAGCAACACCTAAACTCTATAATGTCCTCTAGCTGTGTCATCTGTCATCACTGTACTGGTTAGTATGAATGACACTTTTTATTTCCTCTTTCCTCAGGACCTGCTGGTGTTGGAGGAACAGGAGGTATGGAAGGATGTCGCACTGTTGGCTCTTTCGCACTGTTATTTATCTTTTTTTTTTTCTGCAAAGTATTTCGTTACCTATGTTTTCCAGTCTTGTATTTATGTTTTTTTTGCTTGCAAAAAAAGCTATATTCAGTGTACTTTTTGATTTAATTCATTTCTCTGACTCTAATATAATTGCATTCAAAATCAATGCTTTCTTAGGCTTTAATGAAGGAGACGATATACATTTGTTGGGTCATATATTTCATGCATACTTTAGCAAACATGTCCATATTAGTTGTTTTTTTGTTTGTTTTTCTGTACTATAATGTCCATATTTTGTTTTTGTTTTTTTTATAGGGTTCAGTCAATTTTAAATTTGGTGTACTGTTTGCCAGAGACGGACAGCTCACAGATGACGAGATGTTTAGCAATGGTAAAACGTTTACCTTACTGACACAATTTATGGTAGTAATTTGTTCATTTAATAAATGTGATCATTTGACATTGGGTTTATATTTTTGATGTTTTCTTTATTTGATTGGTAACGGCAGGAATGACGTTTCATCATGTCCTTACCCACAAGTATTGGATTGAAATTGTATCTGAACACTTTGGGTTAGAAAAACCATGAATATATATAAAAAAAATTTAAAATCTCATTTATATTGGTTTTAAAAAAGCATTTGATATCTTTTTTGAGTAGTTTTCTATTTTTAGTCTTTTTAGTTGTAGCCCTGCTTACCATAGCTGTAGCCTATGGCTTATTAGAGTAGCTTTGTTACAGAAAAAGCTATAAAAAAATTTAACTAATTCTTTAAATCTTGTGCCCATAATGCTTCTGTGCCTTGCCAAAAACATTCAAGCCGTTTTAAAATTTGTGCTCTTTGGTCACACAGCTGAATTCACATTACACCCGGGTGGAATCATGACTTTAATTACTTGTTTATTTCTCAAGGCAATTGAGTTTTTTCAGGAGTTTTAGATTACTAGGGGCTCAGTCCATGCACTGTTTTGTGGGGAACATCAGAATGAACGAGAGCCTTGGCCGTACATGTTGACGGGCTTCTATGTTCGTTTTAGAGACAGGGAGCGAGAACTTCGACAAGTTCCTCAATTTGCTGGGTGATACTGTTGCACTGCAGGGATGGGCAGGCTATCGAGGAGGGCTCGACACCAAGAGTAAGAAAAGACCTACAGCATCATCATCGGCTTACGAGAAAAGAGATGCGGAAGCTCGGTTTTGTTTATTTCATTTCTGTTTTGTCTCTCCAGATGACACTACAGGACTTCAGTCCATCTACACGGTGTATCAAGGCCATGAGCTCATGTTCCACGTCTCCACCATGTTGCCCTACTCTAAGGAGAACAAGCAGCAGGTATGTGTAAAGGAGAGCCTTCAAATGTGTTATATGCCTAGGTTATTTCAGTGAAGAAAATAAAACTGCTCTGAGAGGAACCCAGGATAGAGACAGCTTATAAGTACAGCAATTTTAGACATATAATAAGAGACAAAAAAACGTAATACATTGTTGCTCTTTTACCTAATGCCAATATATGGGATGTAAACGAGTAGTTGGCTCGCACATCTGACACATAATTGGATTTTGCTTAAAGGACAGACACTGTGGGGGTCAGTAATAGGGAACAGTCTGTGCTCATCCTGGGGTTCGCTGATCCCAGAGAGGAGCTGGGGATCAAACACATCCACCAGGATATTTCACCTCAGCCTGTCGACTTGTGTGTTTCTTTTCAGAAGCCGTCTGCCTGGACACTATTTTATTATTGTGACTTAGTCGTGGTGCTTAAAGAGGGTTATTATGCAGCTCTAGAGCGTTGGAGGTGGAAGGAATTCTGCTTGAATTAAAAAAGGGGATCCTAGGTTTACAAGTTAGACATATGTTGTACACCTGAAAAAAATGTATATTGTTTTTGAAGTCAGTTCTATCAAACAAAATAAATGCAGATTTAATAATCTAAAAGTCATGCTCAAGGGGAAAAGGTCTTTTGTAAGTTGCTGTAGTTGTATTGGTTCAGAAAAAAATGTGTTGTCAACTTAGTATTCAGTGTGTAATTTAACATAACGTTGAATTTTCTAAATGTGTTACTTTTAATCAGTTTTAGCTGCTTTTGGCCTCTGCTTGTTTTTCACTTATGCCTTTTGTGTCTACTTTCTTTTCTTCTTTTGTGATTGCTTGCATTTTCATTTACTACTTCTTCATCTTGTTCATCATCCAGTCTAAAGATTTGGTCATTTTTGACACAAAAACTTCCATTGTTGTTCCAACTGTACGTTTAAGGTTGTTAACAATGTGTCGGTGTTTTCAGGGTGTAGTGTTCGATTTCCTCCAAACATCATTTTGCGTTTGACTTCAGAAGTTACTAATAGCACTGGATTTCGTGAAGTAGTAATATGGTTGAATGTATGCCACGTGTCAGAAATATGTATTTTCAAAAAGCCGAAATCTGTTGTCCTTTAGAAATATTGGGTTACATTGACCGATCTCAAAAAACTGAAGTTCATTTTTGACAAAATGCCAAAAAGTTTTGCTGTTATTAATACGTTTGCCCATAAATGCAGGAGGGGGAAAACATTTCCCAGGTTCGTCGGGATTCTTTGTTTAGGCTGCTGTCTCTTGTCTTTGTGCGTCTGAAAGGTGGAGAGGAAGAGGCACATTGGAAACGACATCGTTACCATCGTATTTCAGGAAGGGGACGACACGTCGTCGTCCTTCAAACCATCTATGATCCGATCACACTTCACCCGTATCCTTCACACGGACAACGGATGTCAGGCAAATTAAGCGGTCGGCTACAGGAGCAGCCGACCGCCAGAGTGAAAAGCAGAACACTGAAGTTATCTGCTAAAGCAATGTGCTTCCGTCATCATGTAGCTTTCCGATACATTGTATTTGCAGATATCTTTGCTTTAGTCAGGTATAATAGCCAGACTGACAGTTACAGGTGAGTTGCTTCGGTTCTCACAGTGTTATTTTATACAGAGCTACATTTGTTTCATTTGCGTTTTTAATGGATCTTAGAAATATTTCAGGAAGCCTTCTCTTTGCCACAGGTTGAAGATTTTCTCGGAGGAGAGCGTTCCACTGTTTGGGCCCCCTCTCCCATCTCCGCCTGTATTTACTGACCACCACGAATTCAGGGACTTTTTATTAGTCAAATGTATGGAAACAACAAAGCGCAGACAGATAGGAGCTTATGCTGACTTGTTTCTAATACTCTGATCTCCCCTCTTGTTGCTCAGTAATCAATGGAGAGAAAGCCACACTGGAGACGCCAACGTTTGCCCAGAAACGTCAGCGGACCCTTGACATGCTGATCCGCTCACTCTACCAAGACCTCATGCCTGACCTGCACAAGGTAACGAAGCATTTCTGACCATAACTCCTGCACAGAGAGCTGGATAGGTGTCGGTTTTGTTTGTTTTTTGTTTTCTTTTTCCCCCAATCCTGCTGTCACCAGCAGCGACTGTGGCCACTGCTCAGCTGCGTTCTGCTACATCTCACTGCAGCCCCCAGTCTGCCTCCGCACGCTGCACCACACCGACTGGGTACCACTGCAATGCTGACTTTCTGAGCAGGGCTCCCTCTCCTCATATCACTTTTGTTCTTATTTCTCTTGGGGTTTTTCCACTCCTTTCCCTTCACCGTTGCCCCTAACGCATCTCGGTTCAAACTGCATTTTCACTGCTGCCGCTCAACACCTTCCTCCCGCCTGAGGGTTCGTCTCTAAGACGCCTTTCTCCTTTCTCTTTCCCTGTGTGTGCCACACTTTACGTGTTCCACGTTTAGGTTCCCTTTTCTCCCCAGAACATGTTAAACCGGAGGTCTTTCAGCGACGTGCTGCCCGAGTCCCCGAAGTCGGCGCGTAAGAAGGAGGAGGCCCGGCAGGCCGAGTTTGTCCGAATAGGGCAGGTGAGATTACGAACGCAGCAACACGATGAGCAAGTCTTTTGGAGAAGGCGGCAAAAAGCACCGAAGTGTGCACGCCTGCTGCACAACACACATTAAGGTTACGCTCTAAAAAGGTAAACATTAAGATGCCAGCATTGGGTCATCTCTCCAAATCACAGAACTCATTTCCATTTTGAAAATACAGGGAACTGTCCATGGTGTTATAAGAAAGTGGAAGTGATTGAAACCAAACAGCACAGCTGATAGGAAATGAAATCAAATGAAATTCAAATATTAGAAAAGGAAGAGGGTAGAGTGTTTTTTTTTCCTTTCATTTCCAACAATTGTACATTTGTTCAATCTGCTGCATCTGAATCTTTTAAGATCACAAGTTAAATTTATATTTATAAGGAGCTGTAACATTTAACATACATTTTAAACAAAAAAAAAGTAATTTAATTGGATTGCTTATGTTTTTCTGAATTTTTTTCTTTAAAATGGAAACACCCCGCCCCCACTCCTTCAGAAAGCTAAACAATAAAAATGTCAAAATGTATTTTTGTTGCTTTTATATTTTTCTTAATATTCTCAGAACTTTGTGGTTGTTTTGTGACAAAGTCCTAGGAGTGTATGTCTGGAAAAAAAAAACAGGAAACAGGTGGTGTGATTAGTAAATAAAACCAGGTGTGAGGGACCAGAGAGAGACAAGCCAAATACACAACCTAAAAAGTATAAAGAGTTGCTTTATTTAATTTGAAACACTGTTTTTTAGGTATTTTTGCTTTTAAACCAGCTGTCACCATAAAATGAATCCACACAGTTGTTGTTGTTGTTTTTGAGCCAAATGAGTGAACTTCAGTCTAAAGAAAAGATCAGGGTTGAATAATCACTTTCATTCAGCCCATGATATCATGACCTCTGTGTTTTATTTTAGTGAGGCGAATATGTGCGGTCTTTGTCTCGCTGTCACTCTCGAGGCCTCCCTTTACTTAATGTGCCTATAAACAGCCTTGCAGCTAGAAGAAGAAGAAATCCCAAACTACGATCCCAGCCATTAATCCTACACGTTTTGGCCATCATTCTGCCCATCACTCACCGTGACACTGACAAGCTAACAACTGCTTTTAGATGAACCCGTAAAGTGGTGCTACCTCGGAGAGATTGCCTCAGTAGTTTTGTTCCTGTGTTTTCTTCGTTTTACCGACCACTTGAGTGTCTTCTGCCCTTTATTTATTTATTTTGTATTTGCTGCTGAAAAACAGAAAACCTGGATATCTCCAGATTGTAACTCAAAGCGGAAAAATTTAAGAAAAAGGGAGAAATGTCTCATGGAATGTATAAATATAATTTTTTTTTTGCGTTTAACGAATGATTGGACCCCATCGTGGCTGCTAAGCCTTTTGTACAGTTGGTATTTTTCCATTATCTCCAAAGATAGGAGCAGACATTTGAATGCTATTTGCTTCTTCTTCTGCTTAAATTTGCGATGGTTAATTTGATCTGAAGAAACAGATGGACGAATCGTGTTCTGTGCTCGTTTCTACAGGATTTGAGAGCTAAATGCAGATTCACACCACACTTTCTAGATTGGTTCTGGTGAAAAAAATATATAAATAAAAAATAAAGCTTAAATCCCTTTTATTCCTGACCTTTTTCTTGGTATCAAGTATAAAATTCTGACAAAATACATTAACTTGTGGCGGTAACATGACCAAATATGAGCAAGCTCCTACTACAAATATTTTTCTTAGCTGTGTAAAATTTACTATGGGTTCACCATAATTTTTAAGGCACCAAAAATGTAGAAAAAAATTAATAAAAATCAAGAGACAGAAGACCAGATAAATATTTGCTGTAATATTCAGTGTGCATGTCGGGTTTATTAGATGCTGTCTCTTATCCAGGCTCTGAAGCTGAAGACCATCGTGAGAGGAGATGCACCTACAAGCCTTGTCACCACAGGCCTCTGCAGAAAAGAGGTGACAGAGAAACACACACAACGCTGAACAAACATCCACGTGACTCTGCAATTTAAAACAAAAATGATCGCCAATCTACATGGAGAATGTTACCTTTTTTATGCAGTTTAGTTCTCTTAAAATGTCTACAGGTCAGACATTTGCTTTAGTATTTGGAAAAATTAACATTTTTCTACTTACTTGGGTCAAATTCATTGAGTACTCTGATAGCTTCTCACAGTAGCTTGCTGTAATTTTGAGCCATTCCTCCTAACACCACTAGCATGATTTTCCCTGGACTGCATCAGGGCTTTGTGATGTACACTCTAAAACATTGACATTGTTGTTAATCCATTTTGTATCTAATTCCTCGATATCAATCCATGTCCATATTTACCTTGGAAGACCGTTTGTGCCCAAGCATAAACTTCTTTGGCTGATATATTACTTTAATGTTTCTTCATAATGTTTTTTTTTTTTTTTTTTTTTTTACATAATTGCATTTATTTATTCTTTTTTTTTTTAAGTATAGTTATGTAACATGATGTTGCCACTCCCATACATCAAATTTGGGATTATGTCTTCAGGTTTTCAAGGCTCTTTTTTTTTAATTGTGCATCTCATTTTTCAAAACCAACACCGCAGCCATGGGAATCTCAGTCCTTCTGCAGCACGTTCCCCTACGAGATCACATGTGCCGACTCGTGGGGTCTGTCTCTGCTGGTGGCCACCGACACAGCGGGGGTCTTGATGCTGGATGGTGAGTAACTCTAGATCAGTCTCTCTGAAATAATTACACAATCACTGGCACAATATCAAGCTGCTGCTCCGATGTTGACTGTGATGATGCTGTCTGTGCCTTAGGCCCCGACTCGCCGCTGCCCGGTGCTGGTGAGTGACATCCAGTCAATGACTCTTTTCCTTCTGCAGGTGCGATGCATTTTTCACTCCTCGTTTGACAACGTGGATCGCTGTATTGTGTTTCAGAGACGCCGACGCTTCCCCCAGTGCAGGTGTTTGACAAAACCGTGGCAGTGAAGCAGATGCACATTCTGGAGCCTCAGGACCTTCTGATTACCCGGGCAGACAAAGGTGGGCTGGAAAGAAAAGACTGATACTGTTTAGTACTTCCTCCTTGCACATCAGAGGTAGATTTCCTTTTATCAACTCTTTTTCATCCTGTTATTGAATCAGCTATCTGCAGCGTATGCTTAGTCTCATTATCCTCTCTAAATGAATCTCTATCATCTCTCTCTCCCTCTGGTTGAAAACATGCCAAACCTTTCTACTTGAGCTGGTCCAAAGTGGCATTGATCTCATGCTGAGATCTGAGGAATCTGACCTGTAGAGAGCTTAAACTCTGTCGTGCTGAAGGGCTCAGGGAGGGTAGACTATAAGATCAGATCCCTCAACATTAAAAATAAAACATACATACGGCGCATTGCAAAGGTATCCCAGCCTTTTGAACTTGTTCACATTTTCTCACATTTCCGCCACCGGGATATGATGAGATCTGCGACACAGATTAGCAAATATTCATCAACTTTATTTAAAGATGTACACATTTTTTTTGCTATTACTCATATAAAAATATCTATATATTATAAAAATATCTATATATTATTTTTATTCATCCCAGTGAATACTTTGTACAACTCCATTTTGCCTGAATTGCAGCTGCAAGACTTAAGCTCAGTCAGACCAGATGGAGTCTCAAAACAGAAAGTTTCATGTTTTGTTCTGACATGAAAATCTGAATCCATGATCAATTGGATTCAGATCTTGCTTTCGATTGGAGCGATCCCAACACATGAACATGCTTTGATCTAAACCGATTTAGTGTAAATCTGACTGGATGTTTAGAGTTACGGTTCTGCTGGAAAGCTTTAAGACTTTTTCAGCCTCTAACATGCAACTCCTTATTTTAAAGAGTTTGGCTTGTCGAATTTGATGCACAATGAATAATAATAATAATTTTAAAAAATTAATGTATTTGTGAAACAGAAGTGTCCCCGTTTCGTTTCCAGGGAAGGACGCTCGGCTGTACGTCTTCAGACTCAGCGGCATCAAGAGAGGCCTGGAGGAACGGCAGCTCGTCAGAAGCAAGTGTGACTGCAGGGAGAACAAACTGGAGAAAACAAAAGGTGAGCAGACTGCTGCACAGGCCGCAAACCCATCCCTACCACACTCAAGCAAAAGCTCCTCTGAGCTGCAAACACTGACGTTGGATCATGTCGACTTCTAGTCTTATAGAACAACAGATGGCCATATGACAGACTTAACCTTCTGGTTTATATCACTCATTAAATTGCAAGTGGAGGAACATTATTGGTGCCAAATTAGACAACACAGCTGGGCTCTCTGTATTAAACCAATCAGTTATCCTCAGAGATCCATCAATTACAACCTTCCTGGGCAATGACAATTTTTGGTTTTCTTTGAGCTTCTGATTTATACTTATGCAAAAGAAAACAATGCATGAAGGAGGAAAAAAAATGCTTCAAGCTCTTTAGTTTAGGATCCAAAAGAAAATTCAGGAATTAAAGGTGATTCCCATTTATGGATATAAACATTTTGTTCCTAACCTTCATCTGATTCTTAAAATAAAGAAAAGTGTGACAGAGTGCACTCTACTAAAAATATTGGAGCTATTGGCGTTGATACAGGTAAGTAATAGGAAGAACTAATTTATTTTTCAGTTTATCGTTGATTTGGAGTAATCCAGAGCAAAGTGGGAAAAAAAAATGTCAAAGACTGAAGCTCAGTCTGAACATTCAACATTCAGTGGAAGCATGAATAAAAAAAATAATAAACTGCGCTTAAACTAGTATTTTCCAGAGGTTTTATTATCTTTTCCCCAATCATCATAAATTTCTGACAATAAATTATGTCACTGAACGCATCAGTGGTAAGGTGCTCCCATCTGTCCTTCATATAAACTCACAGAGTTACCTTATATAAATCTTTAGGTACCTGATGACTTATTTTGTTTGGTGATTTACTGCCGAATACTGGACTGTTCCTCTGGCTTTGGGAACTGGCAGTTTTATGGAGCCAGTTGTTTGAGCCCAGATGTTTCTTTCATAGAAACACAGAAAAATATTTTATTTTAGGCCAGTGCTTCTCAGTAAATCCAATGGCATATATCATCACAATATTAATGTTTGCAATATTGTGATTACAAAGTGTGATTTTAGTGGCTGAACTCTTGGTGTTAATTGCAAATTCCAGCCAGAATATGGCCATAACGTAGTTTACTGATATTATTCAGTCTTGTTTCAGGCATAAAAAAAAACAAAAAATACAATCTCATTGTAAAGTTTTAAAACCTATTATAGTAAAGTCTGAAAATTAAAAATATCCTTCATGCCATTTTGCAGTTGGTGTTTTGCATTTATGCTGAAGTTAATTCATGACACAGGTTTAAAAAAAACGTTTTATCAACATTTGATAACCAGAGATCTACTCATCCTAATCTCTGCCCTTGGACACTGAGACATTTTTGAAATATTTCTTGTCTGCTTTCCTCTTTGGGCCAGGTTGTCATTTGTACTCTATCAACACCCACCACGGCTCCGAGCTGAGAATAGTAGCAGCCATCAGAACCAAACTCCTCCTAATTACCAGGAAGCATCCGCGTTTCAGCGCCGTGGCCACGGGAGCAGACTCCCCGGTGGAGGAGTTTCAGTACATACGGGTATGACAGTCCCAACATACAGATGTGTAAAGAAAACAAGTTAAAAAAAAGAATATATGAATGCTATTTTATATGAATGTTTATTTTTGCACAAACTGGAGCAATATGTTGTTGTTTAGATCTAATTTCTCCAAAACAAATAAGTGAAACAGTTTTTTAATTGTTTTATGAATCAGAAAAGAACACTTGCAATACTTATATATCTGATATAAATACTTGATAACTAAATTATTCTTCTATTGTGTAAATTATCATTGTAAAGCAACAGCGTGAATGTCACTAATCTACAATGCTTCATTTTTGCCTTTTTCCAATGTGTTAGCATTATACAGCATCCAACTTCTGTGAAACTTAAAAGCAAGAATTTCATTAAGTTTGAATTAGATGCAGGTTTTTCTTTTTTTTGCTAAACTCCATCAAAATTACACATAAACACAAATATGCATACATAACCATGCAATGACATTTAGTTAAGGGAGCCAAATTTAATTAAGCTTTACTACTTGCATTGGAATGAATTTTTACAGATGAAACCCACATATGCTAAAATATTCATGTCATGACTTTTTCTGCAACCTGCTGTAAATATTGGAGTGAGTGCAGCATATATCTTAGTATGTATATTTTACTCTGTGTGGATTAAAGTAAAGCTGCATTAAATTTAAAATTTATTGAAGTAATAGGTTGTCTTTTTTTTTGTCTTTAAAAGGTCAAAAGCATAATTTAAAAATCCCAAATCACTACAGCATTCCATCTAGTGATTAGTGTATTTAAGCTTCCCACTGTGTTTTATAACCATGGTACTTAACTTTTAAAAAGAGAAGAGCTTTATATCACCAGGTCTGCTTATTATAGTCTTTATATTGAATGACATGTTCCAAAAAAAAAAAGGCCTTCACACCTTTGAGGGTTTTCCCATAGAAATATGAGAAATTGATGACGTTAATGAACCCCACCCACAGGAAATCTGTCTGTGTGACCCGCCTGTGGTGATGGCGCTGGTCGACGGCCCGACAGGGGAGAACGACAACATGATATGCGTGGCCTACAAACACCAGTTCGACCTGATCAATGAGAGCACCGGGGATGCCTATCGACTTCATCACGTCGACGCCAACAGGGTGAGGAACTTGTGCACATGCACAATGTCGCTGAAGTCTCGTTTTTGAAAAAGATCAGAAATGAGTGGTCATTTATAATAATAATAATAAAGCAACAGACTCAGATATGACAGGAGAAATCGCCATGTGAAGGGAATACGCTGCAGATCTTTTATATTCCCTTGAGTTCGTGTGACCTGACATTATTCTCCAAAAGACCTTCTGTCACATTTAGCCTTTTGTACTTCTTCCAGATGTTCGACTGATTTCTGTAAAGTGACTTGGCTTTGCCTGCAGGTAAACTTTGTAGCAGCCATTGATGTGTATGAAGACGGCGAGGCAGGCCTCCTCTTGTGTTACAACTGTGAGTCTCCCTTTGACTTTTCACATTTTAGATGCTCTTTGATTCAGGTCAAAGCTGCACCATGTTTTTTTTTTTTTTTTCTTTTCCTCCTGCACCTTAAAAAAGGAACATCCACCTGTGCTCTAAACCTTGTTTGTCATGTTAAAACCACAAGATGAAATGTGTGTCATTTGTATTTCATCCTATTGGAAAAGCATCCCCACAACATGCTGCTGCCACTACCGTGTTTCAGAGTGGATGTTGTAGTCGTGATAAACCACTCATCACGACATTTTGTAATAGTGGATGCTATTTAGGGGTATCAAATCAAAAAGGGAATGAATACCATGACATTTTATTTGTTTTTTTACTTTTTTCTCTTTGTTTAGCTTCATTTTTTCAATGATTCAACCTACTTTTAATATCTACCTTGCAAAAAAGCAGCTTAAACCTTATTGATTGATGTCACTCTTGCGTTCTGTAGTTCTGAATACAAAAAACCTGGCAAGAAAAAAGAAGTGAACCCCTTTTATTTTATGTAAATTTGCACTTGTCTCTTCCTCCAGATATTTGTTACTATAAGAAAGTTTGCCCCTTTAACGGCTCCACGCCAATGATCCAGTCCAACACCTCTGATTTCCACTTCAGCTGGAACCAGATGCCCAATGCTATAGGTAGGTAGCTCCCCATCCTGCCCATTGCGGTCACCATGGAAACACCATGTGTGACCAGAAGCAACCTGCTGACATATCAGATTATGTGCATGTTTTTGTTTGGAGATGCTATTGAGAGGGTGATGCTTCCTGAACCCACTGCCCCTGAATGACTCTGTGTCGTAAACAAAATTCTGCAAAAGATATTAATCAAAGCATACAAATAAAAGCAAACAAAAGAAAAAATTTTTAAAAGATCTGATATAGTGATTTTTTCTCTTTATTCATGTGCTCGTTTTGTGTTTGCAGTTTGCGCTTTTCCTTATATCCTCGCCTTCACAACGGATTCCATTGAGATCCGACTGGTGGTCAATGGAAACCTTGTGTACACAGCAGTGGTCCCAGAGCTGCAGCTGGCTGCCTCAAGGGTCAGTATGATTAAATGCAATTACGCGACCAGGGCAGGGCTTTCTTTGAGCCAGCGCATGCTTGTTGCCCAGAGCCAAAAAACGTCTTGCACATTTACACTGTTGGCTCCGTGTTATTTTTTTCTAATCCAAACCAACATTTTGGCTCGTAGATATTTAAAAATCTTCAGCAGACGGTTTTTGAAACTGCATGCACGATAACGATTTCACTCAATCATGAAAGAAGATATAAAAATGAGTCTAGCTAGATATAAACATGCAGAAATCTCAGCACAGACGACATAAAAGGTAATAGTGAACCAAAATGGGCCGCTCATATGACACACGTTAACTGAAGTGCAGCGGCTTTTAGGTAGATAGGTGCAAACATAAGCTTTGCAAAGCTGCTGAAGAAAAACACAGCAAAGATCTTGACAGACAAATTACATACTTAAAATAATATAACTTGGCTGTATTTGAACCACAAAGCTAAATACTGCACAATGTGAAGTGATGTAGAAATATCCACCTAGAACATTCAGGTCGATCTTAATCCAATTGAATATTATCAAAAGCAAATTTATGTCCATAACATGATTCAAAACATGGAATTAAGTTACTAAAGTTTTGATGACATACGGTTGGCTTAGACCTGAAATTAGGCCAATAAAAGCAAAGTTTAATCCGGAGATCTTAAAACAATAACCTGCACAATAACAAGACAGATAATAGTTCCAGCAGACATACACTCCCTCATTAAGGAGGGTAAACCACAAAATGTTATAGAATAGAATAGAATAGAATAGAATAGAATAGAATAGAATAGACTTTATTGATCCCCAAAGGGGAAAATTAAAGAAGAAATTTAAGAAATTAAAGAAGCTGGCTGTTCACGGAGTGTTGTATGCATGCACGTTATTGGAAAGTTAATTGGAAGGAAAAAGGTGTGGCAGTCAAATATGTGCAAGCAGATAGATATAAACACAGCCTAGTATGAATTATGTGTCAAAACCTTTCCAAGAGTTTCTTTGTGTAATGAATCAAGTTTGAATGTTTGCAGTCGCTTGGTATCAGTCTTTCAGCTCTGTCACTTCAATCAAACCCAGATGAGCTTTGTTATAAATTTTACAAAGAACCAATCTAAAAAAAAAAAAAAGAAAGAAAAATGAGTGCACCTGGCATCAAACACAAATCTCCGTCTCTTTTCTGTTTCCTTTTTTTTTCTTTCCTCCCTTTGTTTCATCTCCTGCCCCTGTCATCTCTCTGCTGCACCTCGCTTCCACTTTACCCTGCGTGCTTCTGTGTTTTATTCCGCCCACAGTCGGACATCTATTTTGTCTCGTCGGCGCCGGTGAGCTCAGCCTCCAACTGCAGTTCCAGAGACACCAGCTCTCAGAGCTCCCCCCAGACGCCCACAGGCTACGAGATGCCCGTATTTCCTTCACCGCTCGGAGATGGTAAAGCCCTGCACATAAAAAGCACCGGGGGCTAGAAGGGGGGAGAGTTGTTGTCTGGAAGGTGTTCAGATCACTGCAGAGCTTTGTGACTTTGGGTGACCTCACAGGCTTCAGTTTGACATTTGCATAAAGCGAACTCTGCAGGACGACTCTGTGACTCCACAGTGTTAGGGTTTGTTATGCACAATTTAATCCCGTGCAGGTTTTCTCTTACGTTGACTGAGACCTATTCTTCTGACTCCGTTCAGGACAGACAACGTTCGTAATCGACTGCTCCGTGTTCGCTACAGGTGGAGGTGCTGAGTGAATGCGTTGCTACGGTTCCAAGTTTCTTTCTTCTGTTTGTCGGCAGCACCTTTGCGCGAAGTGTGGTGCGAGCCGAGCCAGTCGTGTCATTGCTACTCACACTTAGAATCTGACAATGCAGCTAAATCCTGTGGGGTCTGTATGGATATGATGCTTCAAGTGTAGATTAGAACAGGATAATCGAAATAACCAGTACATAACCAGGACAACATTCATCTGATTAACTTTGATGGGATTTTTGACGGCAGTCAGGCCAAAAATATACTCATACCCCTTGAATTTCTTTTCACATTTTGTCAACAACTCAGAATATCTGTGTTTCTTTTGCTTACTTACAGTAGAAATGAATAATTGCACAAAAAAGGTTTCAAAGTTGTTTCTTTTTCTACAAATAAAACATCTGAAAACTGTAATGTTCGTACAGAATGTACGTTGACCTTTTCATCCCTAAATAAAATCCAACCAATGACCTTCTTAGATCATCTAATTAATAGATAATCTATTGATTAGATAGACTGGAATTCAGTTGTGTGTAATTTAGTTTGAGTTTAATCCCAGCTGTTTTGTGGAGGTTTCTGTTGTTTGTTAAAGACCAAAACATAACAGACAGTTCGGCAAGGAGCTTTACTTAGGGTTAGATTAGAAAATAATCTGGACGGATGGATGGATATATCAAAATTTATACCTGCATCCTTCCCCCCCATCATCGACAGCATTGATTTAATAGATAATTAGGATCATTTTAACCCACTTTTAACCCCTAATGGTGTCCATATTTCCCCATCCAGTCTCCCTTTCCTCTCAGTGCTGTCAGCCGTCCTGAGCCCATGCACTGATGGATTGAGGAGGAGGTCCGCTCCTTGTTCATTGGATTTTACGTCTGTTGATGTTGGTGACTTGGACTGAGGACAAAGACAGAGAAACACGGTTATTAAATGAGTTGCCTGCGCCATTAAGCCTCATCCGTACTGAGGGGAGCAGTTATTTAGAGGTCCCATTAAGGCTAACAGGAAGAAAGGTTTGGCTGTTGCTGCTGCAATTAGCCGAGGGCAGGATTTATGCTCTTAGGCCGCTGCAGGTAATCAGTTCTCTCAGAGGGATTTTCATTTTCTGCCCTGTTGTTTTGAGTTGTGTGTGTCGTTCTGCACCACCCAGACAACTGAGACCGTGCGAGTGTGTGTGTGTGTGTGTGTGTGTGTGTGTGTGTGTGTGTGTGTGTGTGTGTGTGTGTGTGTGTGTGTGTGTGTGTGTGTGTGTGTGTGTGTGGTGTGTGTGTGTGTGTGTTTCTGCACCTAAATCTGTGTTACTGTGTGTGCTCAGTTTGTGTAACCCTCTTCTTCATTCCCGGTTCAGATTCAATACGGATCCCCTATGGTACCAAGCTTTCCCTGTACATGTCTAAGGATGCTGAAGGTACTGCAGGATTCTCATAACCCCCCCCCCCCCCCTCATAAAGCTACCCCACTAACACACACACGCTCTTTCCCAGAGTGTATCACCCTGTCTGCTCCAAGGCGGCATGTTGACTTGGACGTTGGTTGAATGTTAAGTGAACGTTATGTCTTCCCCCGTCCTCCCACCCTCTCTTTCTGTCTCAACTAATTAAAGCATTAGCTTGAGAAGGGAGCGAGAGAGGGCAAAAGAAAGGATAGAGCGCAGAGAGAGGAGTGAAGCAGAGGTGGCAACGTCAGTCGAGAAGGAGGGCTTTATAAGTGCGGGGAGAGAAAAGAGGCGGAGACGCAGGAAAGGTATGCCAGGAGGAGAGGGAGGCAGAGAGGGAAGGAGAAGACACGTTTGTCGCAGCATGATTTACAGATTGCGCTGTCGCCATGGAGACTTTTGTCAGCCCGCTCTTCGATCCAAAGTGGGAGTCCAAACAGCGGTGCCACAGTCTGATGAGGGGGGATGAAGATGGGGCGAGAAAGAAAGAAAGAAGGGGGGCTCGCTGACAAAAATCTCAGGCTCTAACCGCCTGCGCACTCGCCGCCTAAGGCTGCTCCGTGGGGAGGTTTGCATTTGATGTAATTGCATCAGTAATGAGAGCGAGGTGCTGCTACAGAGGTGGCCACTGGCCGCCCTCAACCTCCACTGGCTCGAACACACACACACACACGTACACATACACACCAGAGGACCTGCAGCCGAGCAGCTCAGGACAATTGGACTCTCAATTAGCACCCAGAACATTCCCGGCATTCAAGTGCCAATCATTTGCCAGTGTGATGGAGAGCAGCGCTCCCCCTGGTTCAGAAACTAATGCATGTGGAATATATTGATCTCTCTGATTATGTATTCCAAGTGACCGTATGCTCTTTTTTTTCCTTCTTGTGTGACAGCTCAGCGATCTGTAATAGCACTAACACAATGTGCCTGTCGAAAATGAGTAGTGATCTTTCCTTTACTCCACTCACAGACTTACATTTCAGATGAAACCATCACTTCTGTTCATTCACACGAACCTGCCCGTTAGAGCAGGTTGGCTGCTGAACTCCAACACTGCCCCCTGCAGGCACAGCGGGGCTTTGCACGCTGCAGCGATGTGGCGAGATCGTGCAAATTGAAAAAAGAAAAACAGCATAATTTAATAATTACCAAACAGACTTTAGGTTTTGGACGTTGTGCTGAATATTAGATCGTGCGCCATAAATAGATTCTGTAGCATTGCATTAGGAAGATTAATTTCCAGAATGCATGCTGTTTCCGTAAACAGGCCTATTAATCATCTCAGAGTTGCTTCATAGATTTATTAGATCATCAGTCTGTCTGAGCAAGAGAGCTTAGGTTTATAAAGGATGACACAAAAGGTTAATTGACATATTTTGATCCTGATCAGAAGTTCATTTAACCATTTTCAACTTTTCCCAAAGCAAAGAGATACAGCAACAAAAAAAAAGCAAATCTTTATTTTAAAACAATTGCTTAGATTTATTTTCACCTAGATAATACCAATAAAATCACACACACAGACTCAAATATCGACATAAAGACAAATTATATTTGGTTGAGAGAATATGTTCAGGTTGCAGAGAAATGACATGCTTTGTGCAGCCTCTTGCTGGATTTTTGACAGCTCCTCTCGGCAGAAATGTTGAAGAAGTTATTTTAAATGATTAACTTCCTGATACAGACAGATTAGTTCACCAATTCATAACAGGATTGAGGTGAGAGACGATGTACATGATTAATAACTTATTCTGAAATCAGTTTCAATCAGTGTTTGGACTCATCCCTCTACTAAATAGTTTGAGTTTGAGATGAATTTGATTTATTATCCCAACCACTTTGCACAAAGCATCACAAAAAAATAACAAAGATTTCAAATTCCTTCACACCCATGATGAGTGCATGTAAACTTCTGACTCGACCAGCAAAATCTATGTAGAAGTGACTCCTCACTTCTACAAACGTCTTTGTTTCCATATATTTATGTATTTCTTGTTTAATTTGTCAATATTGCTGTGGTTATGATCGATCAGTGATCCGTTTCCATGGCTGTGTTTTTTTAGCTTCAGGGTGTTAAAACTCTTATTCTTCATGCAGACAAAGAAATTCTAACAATTGAAAAAAAAAAAAAAAAACATAAATTTAAGTTAAAATTTTCAAAGGTGTGTAAATGTATGAGGAATGCTTTCAGTAGATGCTGCAAAACTACAACAAGCCCAACAATGAAGTTCCTCGTTTCAGGAGTTTTATGTGTTATTTTTGTTTGTTTTTAATAAACTGTCCACTTTTCTCTTTGTGTAATTTTCCTGGCATTCTGCTCCTGCCTCTGACCATTTTTTAAAACCTTTTCTTTAATTGTGTCATTGCATATTCTTTTATTTCCTGTTTCTTCATCGACTTTGCTTTTTTTTTTTTTTTTTTTTCACTCCCTCGTGGGATTTCTCCTACCAGGTGAAGCAACATGTAAGCAAATCTTCAAGATTCCTCTGTGTAACCTGGTGGGCCGCAGCATCGAACGGCCCCTGAAGTCCCCTCTGGTCAACAAAGTGATGACCGCGCCCGCGCCCGCCATGATGGCGCCCACTCCACTTATCTCCGCCACACACTCGCTGTCCTTGTCCCGCATGGAGATCAAAGAGATAGCCAGCCGCACGCGGAAGGAGCTGCTGGGTACTCTGACCAATGACTACAGAGAATTACAAAAGATTCACACCCTTGAACTTTTTTTTTTTTACATTTTACCACAAACATCAAATTTAAAGAATTAATTTGGGGTTTTTTTTTTCTTCAAGTCTTTCCATGGATTCTTCTCTTCTAACAGTGATTTTCTTTGTGTTGCTCTTTTATAAAGGCTGGATTTCTAGACTGTATAGCTAATAGTTACCCTCGCAACAAATTTTAACATTTGATTTATGGATCTCAGAGCTGATTAATTTGATCGATTTGCAGCACTAAAACATAACACAGTGAGCAAAAAGCTCAAGGTGTGTGAATACCAATGCAAGTCCTGGTGCTCCGCACTGACTTCCTGTTTCAGCCTATCAGAAAATAACCAACTTTCTGATACTTTACATCAATCAAGGCCTGACCGAGGAGCCCAGTGGGAAGTCGGACAGCGGATCAGTCAAACAGAGAAAGATGAGCAAAAAGAGCACTGACGAGGATCCCAAAGCCAGAGCCCTGACGTCAACAAACAGCGACAGGTATGGATTGAAACTCTAGAGAGAGAATTGTAAATGTTTTTCTGTTGGGTTTTTTTTTTTTGGTAAAGTTCGACAGCTCTCTGCTCAGCAGGTTAGCCTCAGACTCGGTGGACGCGGAGCTAGACGTCCAGCTGCATTGCTCGTCCGCCTTGGAGGCCGATCCGGAGATGGTGGTGCTGCAGGAGGGCAGTCCGCCTCTTGCCAGCGCGTTTGCCCTCCCCACGTCCTTTGAAGACGATGTTCTGGACCTAAAGTGAAGACAATCCCGTTGTGCACTTCTCTCTTCGTCACAGTCACCTTCTTTTTTTTTTCTTTTTGCCTTTTAAATTGGTTTCTTGAAATATATCCCTGCCTTCTACTATTCTGGCTCTCTCCATCCATCAGGGTATTGGTGGAGAGACGAAAACATGTCTCTGCTCATGTTTACTGTGCGTCATCGGGTGTTTGTGTGGCCCTGCGGCTGAACCCCAACCCAAAAAAAGGCTGTGAGGTTCTGCAAGATGCCCGGGTGTGTTCCAGCATCTACAGTAGCTTTGAGAGAAAGGCAAACTGAACGTAGATCTGCAAACATCTGTGCATCTGAACGCAGTTCCCTCTAAAGCCGCTGACTCCGTGTTGTATATTATTTCAGATCTGCTTGCAAATGTTGTATGATACCGCTCTGTATGTGTACATCTGTTTATACACCGAAATGCATACAGTGCCAGGCACACCCGTCTGGTCTGTTTATACATATTTATAGATATATTATATATATATATATATAAAAAAATTATTTTGCTCCAACCTTCAGTGATATTATGTTTTTTTGTTGTTGTTTTTTTTTTTTTTTTTGCTCTGCACCGATCCTCACTCACCACTAAACAGGTTGACAGGGCAGGAGGTAAAAATCTCCCTTAAGTGCCATTTCCCAGCATCCATCACTGATCCACTCACAACAACCAGGGGATCGTGGCGCAGCCTTCACTGTAGTCCACATCACACGAGTTTGTTTGCTGCTGAAGAAACCCCGACACTAAGGCCGGCATGGCTGACGTCTGGTGCTGAAGAAGTACTCAACAGAAATGAGACATATCTGCTGCGTGCTGCATGGTTGGTTCAAATTTGATTGAAGCTTCAGAAGAAAATTACATAATTCAAGTAGGTTTAAATTATAAGGCGAGACTTTTTCTTTTCTTTTTTTTTAACCAATTTCAAGTGAAAACCATATATATGTTTATCTCTGTAACACATTGTCCTTGCTGAAGACCCACATTGAGACCCTTTTCTGGGCTTTTCAGAAAAGGCTCCAATATGCAGGATTACTACACTTGTTTTCGTTTGGATTTATAGAAACAATCCACCTGATATGAGAGATGAATTAAAATCCAACTGAGAGACATTTGCGAAATACATTCATCCTCAAATTTGACCCTTCTTTCCAACTCCCACCTCTGCTTCTTGAATTCCCACCTCCCTGAAGCGTATTCACAGGGACTTGCAAAAGTATTCCTACCCATTACACTTTTTAAAAGTTAGAATCACAAAATTCAACTTATTTTATTGGAATTTTTAAGTAGGAAACCAATGCAAAATAGCTTATCATTAGGAAATGCAAAGACAAGTTATGCGTGGTGATCAAAATGGCGAGCAAATGAAGATCGGAAATGTGTTTGTGAGTTTTCTGTTGCAACGTGTGTCTATCTGTTCGGTTCATTTATATTACGCCGGATGACAACAAATGTCTGAAAGCATCTTGACCACACAGACAAATTCAATTTCACATGTGTTCAAACTCTGTCCAAGTAATATAAATTACAGCAAACTTTAGTTTAATATCCCATTTAGTAAAACGTTTTCTAATGCAACTCAGCTGATCGCATCAAGTCGCTGACTCTGAATGTCTGAATCTCAAGATTTTTCTCTAGTGATTTAGGAAAATGGTTCAAACTCAGTCAGCAATTCTTGTCATGGATTTTCAGTACCATTAAGGTTTTAACTTTGACTAGGCCATTCCAACAAATGAACATATCTTGATCTAAACTGTTGAAGCTTGCTCTAGTTGCACATTTAAGGTTATTTTCCTGCTAGTCGGTGAAGCTCCACTCTCTCTATTTAGCTTAATTTATCTTCTTATCAACTCATCTTTCCTGTTCTTGCTAAAGAAAGGCATTTCAACAGTATGATGCTGCCACCACCATATTTTAATATGGTAATGTTGTCTTCAGGGAAATGCACAGAGATAAGTTTTCCACCTCGCAAAGCCATTCCCATGACCAGAGCACATTTTCTATAACTTTCTTTCTTTTTTCTTTTTACGATTAAATGCTGCCTTGTGATGGTCTATCAGTAAAACTCTTTCAAAATGTTTTGAAGTTTGTGCTTGTAATGTGACAACTGTAAATGGTATACGGATTTAAGCTGCATTCATTTCATATTAAATTCAACTCAACCGGCTCTTTCCTAGCTACGTCTTGGCCGCTCTTTGTATCCAAATGACCATTTACAGCGACATAAGTGCCTGAAAACATTTACGAAAAGGCCTCACAGCAGCCAAAGACAGACTTTCTTGATCAGACTCACATTTAATCATCTGGTGATGCACACTGAACTAAGACTCAGTGTCCCTGCTATCATATAGACCTCTTAGATCTTCAGCATGGGAACCTTATAGTCTAATATGAAGGAAAGGAGACAAAACTCAAGATCAGACAGATTATGTGTATTAACACACAACCCTACATCTATTGTTAAAAATACAACTAATCTGCTAATTTGCTTTGTCCTATCCATAAACCTGAGTGCTGCAATATGCAAACATCTCATTGTGACGCTTGTCAAGCACCAACAAATAGCTCAAATAAAACTTTCCCCAATTTCTTTTTTGACCTCACGTTTTGTTTTTTTTGTTTTTCTTTTTACAACATTAACAAACTACAGTTAGGAAGGTTTTATTGAAATACAAGATCTTCTTAACTTCTGCCTGTAATTCATCTGTTTTTCAGCTATCTTTTCCGTTCACTTCTGCAGTGGGGTAAAACGTTTCCCGTCAGTTTTGCCGAAGCGGAAGACGAGGTTGTATGCAAACTAATGGACATTATAAAGTCGGCTCGTGTCTCACTCCTGAAAACAAACGCAGCTTCGAAGACATGAGGAGCAGCAGAGTAGGACCAAAATGGAAAGCGTAGAAGAGATTCACACTAGGAGTTGTAAGGCAGGTAAGACAGTGTGTCTACAGATATTATTATATACTTCACAAGAAAACAGCTGAGAGATGTTGCATGAACCTGTATCCTCACTCTATTTCCCCTCAAGCTTTTCCTCTGTTTCTCTGCCTGCTACAGCATGAATTCCTCCAAAATGGTTACCAAACTTAAAAGGAGGGGGGGGGAAACTAGTACTTATTTTTTTATTTTTTTTAATGTGTGAATTAAAGGTGATTAAGGGAAACTTGTGTGGGTTCTGTTTTGTCTCACTTTGCTGAAGTTACACTTCCCCTCTGCTTTTTCACAGTTTTTTGTTTTTCTTTTTGTAATAACATCTATATTTCCTGTTTAGATTGTCGCTGAACTTCTCTGTGATATCAAAACAAAAGAAAATGTACAAAAAAAATTACACCAAGTGTCTTAAGATATTGTATCGCCATCGTTTTTAATGCCAAGTAATACTTGTAAATGTTTGTGCATCAAATGTGGCCTCAAATGAAACTTAACTATATCATTATTATTATTATGACTATTATTTAAACAGTTATTTTTAACAAGTGCTGTAGACCACTGCTGTGAAAGTAGTTGATTCTGTTCATTAATATGTAATAAATATTTATGGAATTCCAATCGCATGACTCACTGGATTTGGTTTTGAGATCAACTTTTATTGCTCCTATATCATATGACAGATGTGTGGATAGACTGTCCAACAACACATTTTGTTTTTTTCTTTTAACAGTTTGATCATTAACTTTTTCTGCTTTAGGTCAGTAAAGATTATCAAAATTATTTTTCTTCCCCAAGTGCAAAAGTATTGAAGAAAAATCCACCCTTTAATATGAATATATATATTTTGTGAGAGGGTAAAATCTCATTTTAAGTGGTTGTATTTTTATTCTTTTCTTTTTCTTTTTTTTTTTTACAAAATAAGACTGCTATATTTAATGGTAAACCTAGTCGTATCTAAAAGAGAAGTATAACTGAAATGTATTAGTTTTTATTTATTACTAGAGGTTTGACGTCGATCAAAATGTCCAAATTCTAACTTTTAATTAGTAATCGAAAGCTTCCTTATTATCTAGTAATATAAATGTGGGGGGGGGATAAAAATAATATTCTAAAATCACAAGAGAAGTGCGGCAAATCTGTAGGTTCACAACATGACCACAAGGTGGTGCTAAATATTCACGAGGGTCCACGTCATTATAGCAATCAAGCAAATAGTTCACTTTATTGCCTGTCGTGTTTCCTTGCTGAAATTGGCCCTTTTTTTTTCTCCCTGAACAACAGGATATCTAGTCAGGATATCTAGTCAATAACAACCTTTGTTGTTGGTTCAAGAGCTACCAATGATCACAGAGGCGCTGTCAGCGTCTTAACCGGTCCTACACAAAACGAATAAACACAAAAAAGGGGTAAATGAGTGTCTTGTTCATCGAATGAATTTAGCTTTTTTTTAAAAAGTAACCGAAGAGGTTGAAAGGGTTAAGACACACCCTTGCTCTTTGTAGGTGAGCTTTATGTGTCCTCCAGATTATATGTATTATGAGAGCTCTGTCTTTCAGAGCAGGAATTTTCCAGTCCTCCCACAGACTGGGTCAGTTGTGTCGTCAAAAAGAAGACAAAAAACGTAAAGGGGGGAAAAAAATCTGCGACCACAAAAGATTTTAGCTTTATGTTAACATTCAGTAATCTCAACCACTTGGCTTGGAAAATAACCAGAAGTAGGATTACTGGAATGACATGATGTACAGAAGTGGAAAACTGAGGCTTCAGGTTATACAACACTGAGACAAAGACTGTCGACAGAGGAGGGGGAAAAAAACAACTTCCGAAACTTTACACACCCCATATTTTTTCAGTGAGAATGGATGACTTACCATTTAAACATAAATACATCTAAGATCCTTCCCCACTTCTTTCCCAACCCCCCTCTTGTAATGAAAGTGAGCACAACCGGGTCCAGAGTCTTACGTAATAGAGGCAGGAATGCTGGAGGTTTGCCTCGGACTTCTGGATCACCTCACTCACAAAAAAAAAAAAAAAAAAAAAAAAATGGGGCCCCATCCCATTCCAAACCAGTCTCTGCAGTGCTAGGCTAAAACAACAGCCAGCCTGATCATTAAAATTACAACACAATGGAGGTTTTCCCTCCCAGGGCATGAACTGTTTTATTACCTAAAAAATATATCCACTGATGAGCCTGCATAGCTAAAGAAAGAGTAATAAATTAGTTACAAAACCTTAAGGATAACCTCAGGATACATTTTCACAGATATTTTTTTCTATGTTCTTGCAGGCTGTTAAGACACGTTCATGTTTCAGTCCTTTTAAGGAAAATAGCTTTGACTTAAACAAGAACAACTGCAAGTGAGTCCCGTTCGATATTTCGACACCTCATCAGTCAGGTTCCGTTTCATTACTGGCGAATGCAATATTCAAACAAGGCTTAACACGACAGTTGGCACACCTACGCAGGAAACAGACTAAGCCACCATAAGTGTACAAAACCACATCAATGGTGGTCTGTGTTTAGTGTAAACACGGGAGAGGCTACAGTTGGAAAATAAGTGGCTTTAAGTGAATAGATTTCAAGAAATTTCTGCTTAAACCAAAAAGAAATCTGTATCAAACTTCATTTGCATTTTAGATACATCAGTAGAGTCCATGGCGTCAAACATTGTACTTCAAAATCTGTTGAGACATTGTCACATTTTTTAAGACATAACAATAAAAATACTGACAGGATCTTTCTTTAAAAAAAAAAATGCTCAGGCGTAATCCAACGGCTTATATTGCACTCCCACTGTCTTTCTACAGGAACCCATAGTTAACCCCCTCTGACACAGCTCATGAATGGGCGTCCAAAGATTGATCTTTTGACTCCTCTTCACTCCCAAAGTCTCTGAAAGCTAGGCGAAGGATGCCACTGACATCAGGATCTGCACAGCCATGGAAACACAAGGCACCTGTGCGGCGGTGTAGGCCAGAGAACGGGTGGGTGCTTGCAGGGCCAACAGGTAGGCAAGGCTGTGCAGCACGCGCGCGAGAAAAAACACGAGGAAGTGAAGGCGAGCCACACTTAGCGAAGGTCCGGTCAGGGAGTAGATGGCCCCCAGGAAGAGGAAAGGGAGGATGTTCTCTAAGTCGTTCAGGTGAGCCCTGAAGGGGAGATGAAAAGATTTAGAATGTGAATGGCTGTATCTCCTGTTCCCTGGTGTTGGGAACTCGTAGAAAGCAGCCAATTGCATTAGCAAGCAACTGTGAATATTTCTACTTTGTACATCCTCAGTCTACTTGCATGTTGGAATTGAATTAGTTTGCAAGGCCTTCCATTCCTTTTCACAGGCTCTTCCAGTTAGATTACCCCTAACGAACATCTAGGGTGTCACTGAAACCAAGACAAGCAATACACAAAGGTTCCCAACAATGGATTCCTGGGAGAAACCACAAACCAATCCTAGAGCAACCGGTTTTGCACACAAAAGACTCACTGATAGCTTTGAAACATCTTTTTTTGCTTCTTCTTCTTTTGACTTGATCATAACCATGGCTGTAAAACTGTTTTTTTTGTTGTTGTTGTTGGATTTTTTTCTAACATTCTTTAGACTTTTATGTGAGGGTTTGACAAAAAAAAACACAGTAAAAGTATAGAATAATGTTTACTTTTCATGTGTCACACCTGTTAAATCAGTTAACCAAATGCCAGACCGACTTTCACCCATTAATGATCAACCCAAGCAGTCCCTCTGAAGCCCACTGCTGGGTAATCGACTAGCCTGAGAAAAGCCTAAGAACAAACTTCATTTGAATTTCAAATACAAACATACTCTCTGTGACGGTGAGTAATTCAATATTTTTTAAAAAATTTCTTTATTCAGCTATAACTTGTCCTTTGCAGTGAGTCCATTTTGACCCATTGAGCCTGTGCAAAATAAAAAATAATTTTAAAAAAACCCATCTGATACTTTGATTTGGATGATACAATCAGTAGCTTCTTCATTTAAAAAAATGAAATCACACAGTGTGAAGCACAACAACAAAAGAAGCTCAAACTTCATGAGACCAAAATCTGAATGTGTTAATTACTGAACTCCAGGAATGCAGGACTTCAGCCGGCATCCGCTGGCTGACGTCCACTGGTTTCCTTCTGGTTTTACTTTTCGATTTAGTGACTCAGCTATGATGTAGAAATATGATCACTCACTTAGTAAAAGTGGCATTTCCAAGTCAAGCTGTGATTCAGGCTTGGATTCAATTTGTAAGGAAATGGCACTTTTCAAAGTTTGAGTGTTTTGTAATTTCCCTGAATAAATCGGCGTCCGGTTCATCGTGTAGCATCAGCAGACAGACTAGTGTGTACATAGGTCTTTAAAAAAGAGGCCTTTAAAAAAGGGGTCAGGCCCTCTGAGCACTTTCCTTCCTCTCATTTTGCCTGAATCTTGTAAAAACATTTTTGTCAGGAAATCTGCCATTCCATCAGCATGAGGCTTTGCCTCTTGAACAAGATATCTTCCTGCTTGAGTTCAACATAGTTTAGTGAGTTGTTTTTGCTTATTATCAGCAGCAGCAAAAAAAAAAAAGAAGAAAAAAGCCACATCTGTTTTTCCTTTTACCCCCCTCCTTCCTAAGAGATTTCTGTTTTCCCAACATGTTATAACACACAGCTCAGGATGGGAATGCTCGCACTGCCATGTGGAGAAGCACACATCTCAATTTGGATGGGAAAATTCCACCAGAAACAAACGGGAATCACCACACAGACACATCTCCCCCCCACTCACCCACCCCCTGGGTGTCGGTGTCTAGTTCTTGCAAACTTTGGTCACGCAAATGCATCCGCACAACTTTACCATTCTAAACCTTTGGCAGTATAAATGCGTCCTTCCTGTTTGCTTTGGAGTGCAAAACTTCTCCTGAAAGTGACAGAAACTTTCTGCGCTCTCACCTTCGGCATCTTTCCACGTAGGGATCCTCTCTGTGAAACTGCAGCCCTCCGTGTCTCAGCGCGTCCTCTGGGTTGGCGAAAGCCTTTTATTCATTTATTGTTTTTCAAATCAGGAGAAAAAAATGCATCAGAGAAACAGGGAGAGAAAACCAAAGTGACTCAAAACTAAACTTTATTTTAAAATATATAAATATATATATATAAACTCTTGATTCTCTCACCTTTTTCCGCAGCCTGACTTGCCCCGTTATGATCGCGATAGTGTACATTTTGATCACCAGGAGGACGGCGTAGAAGACGAAGCAGGAGAAAACCTCGTTCCTTATCATGACTGCGGCCTGATCGCTGTCATATGATTGAAAAAGCTCGGCGCCAGTCCCGCTGCTGCCGGAAAGTGAGAGTTGCCCCAAAGGAAGAAGCTCTTAATACAGGCGGCTCTGACCCAACCCACCAACCAAAAGACGACGCGAACGGAAATGTTTCATTTATGACACGACAGGTAAGTTCAGGTTCTGTTTTGTTTTTGTTTGTTTTTGAAGACTATATATATATTTAAAACTGCACAAATCTCTCTTCTGATGAATTCATCAAGTTTCTAAGAATTGAGACAAAAATAAAACGAGTCTCATATATATTTGCCTCCTTGTGGATTTATTATGACTTTTTTTTTACTGGGGAAGAAAAAAAAGTGTTTAGGTTATCTATCACTTTGTGGATAAATAAGGTTTCCAACAATGATCACATTTATTAATTGAGAACCATATATAACGTGACTACCGGTTGTTGACTAAAACTTAAACTCACCTTGACAGGAAGGCTTAATAAAGAACATGTACAGTAAAAAAAACAACAAAACACTCAAACAGAACCTGTTTGACTGCATGAAGTAGGTTAAAAGACCTTAAAAATCAGAGAAGATGGTTTTTAAAGTGTACAAATTATTTTCCATTATGAATTATTCAGCATATCCCCCATTACTCACATCACCTGCAAACTGGCTGAGCCAGATCTACTAAATACCTGTATAGGCATCTCAGCACACTAAACAAGAAACTGTAGTAGAAAAGTGGACTCATGTACTGCTTTAGGAGACACAATTACAGGAAGAGAAAAATAAAGAGATCTGGGCACCCTGAATTGCCATGAAGGCCACACCAACATGGGGATCAAGAGGTCAAAGTAATGCCAATCTTCAATCCAAAACAACCAATTTCCTGCAAAATTGTCAAAAATAGCCACAAAATATTTTTTGATATCACATCAAAAACACAATTGAATTTGGGAGAGACAAAAAAAAAAAAACTTCATAAATAACTTTGGAATTTGTTGTTTTTGTTCATTTTCAAAAGTTTCCCTGAAATCAATATTTTGAGAATGCGTCTCCCTTAACAGCTAGCCAAAACACAAGAGACTTTATCCATTTCATCATTTTAAAATTACACACCGCGGATAATATGTGTGGGAGAATGTGCTCCGTACAAATTCTGACACACAGTCCAAGATCAGGAGTCAACACGTCTTCATTTCTGCACATGGTGAAGATCAGACTCCAAACATGATTTCACGCGCGAGACTGCTGGCAAAATACGGGCTACAAGGTTGGCTGCAAAATCCAGAGAAAAGGTTTTCCACTGAAGTCATGATTCGAGAGCAGGGGGCGTCCGGTGGACAAACCTGCTGCTTTCTGCATTCTGACATCATCCGTGTGGAGTACAGTGTTATGTAAATAGTCTTGCATGTACATGACAGTTATATTCATGCATACTGAAATTCTACTTCTGGATACTGGATTCTCTTCTCTATATCCATTTATTAGCCCTCCTGATGGTTGCTGACCAGCAATTTGCATGTTTCTTAATGCTTCAATGCTTCATCGCTCACAAAGAGCTCTGGTTCGTCAAGGTTGGATAGACTATTTGTTCCATTAACAGATTACATTTGACTCCAAACCGTTAATGTCAATTCATTTGATTAAGTTAAATATTTGAATATCGTTAATAAAGACGTCACAAATGAAGAAAAGAATCAAATAAAAACATCTTCCTTCGTTTCCACAGATCAGTAAACTCCTGGAGGAACCTCAACCATCAGCCCCCTGATGCTGCCACTCCAGCGTGAGCGAGCTCGCCGAGCTGCTGTCGTCGCAGCAGTCCTCGGCGTCCGAGAAGGACGACATGTAGTGGAGGCCGGTCACTCGGTGGTAGCCTCCGTTGAGCATCTGCGGGCAGGAGGTGAGCTCCACGGCCCGGCGCCCCGGCCCCCATGCCCTCACGGTCCACATATCAACCAACTGGGAACACACAACGCAGCCCATGGTGTGTATAAACAGACGATGCAGGCGTACAAGTAACACAGGTCACATTGCAGACTCAGCCGGGGTCAGGAAGTGACATCAATGACAGGAAGGAATATTACAGAGTTGATGGTACTTTTGACTCAGTCATAAGATACAGCTATTTAGCTTATTTTTTGTTTAAGACAATGTCATTTTAAGTCCTAAAATGTAAAAATGTAATTATATTGACACACACTCATTACATAATATTACAAAATACCCAATTGGCAATTGGTTAAAAAAAACTATGACTATAAATATCTTAAGTCTTCACTTTCATGCTTGTTTAGAGTGAAAACACACTGCAAGGGAAGCTAACTCATTTCACTTGCAATGCCTGCAAGTGTTTGTCTCACTTTCTCTCTTTTAAAGGCAGGAAATAATAACTTGCCGAGAAGGAAAATCAAGGTCCACCACAAAGTCTCAGATAGTAAGCACATCAGCGTCGACTTGACTTGTCTGCTGACAGAAATCAAAAAGCTGGCCCTTCACCATCAAATCAAAAGGTCACAGCTTAAACTTGCCTGGTGTCCTCTGTCTCTCACATCTCCCAAACATGGCCTGCAAATATTTACACAGAACACTTTTAAAAACGAGAGAGAAAATACCCTTCTGAGCAAGCTGAGGGAGGTAAAGAGGAACCAAGCACCAGCCGTCCAAGAAAATAGTTTTTCGCTTTAAAAAAAATGAAGCACTGCTGTTGTGTTGCTCCTTTTCTCTCTGTTCTCAAAACCACCCGACCGTTCAGGTTATAATGGAGGCTCCATGTATGAATTGTTTCCTGTCTGGTGTTCGTCAGTCTCCTCTGCTTGATGGAAGAAGCCTGTCAGCAAAGTTAAAACAGATGCCTGAGGAAAAGGAAACAGAAGTCAGGTCAGTAAGCGGCAGCTCTGGACATAGTAGACGGCAAAGTAAGCACAAATGACATAAGACATTTGTTTCACTCTTCTGTTTTTCAGGATGGAATGATTATGCATTACATTAACATGCAACATGTGGATTTGGTAGAAAAGGTAGGTATTTTTTATAGCCTATTTGACGTGCAGTAAATGACTGTCAGTGGTTCTAAATGTCGACCTTGTGTTTGAAGTTTAATTGAAGATTTAAGAAGTAGTCCTCCATTTTTGCTTTTTTATTTTTTATTTGTTTGCTTTCTGAAATACACAAACACTACTGGCAGTGAAAAACAATCCAGAGCATGATGCTGCCATCACCATGCTCACCAGTTTGTCTCAAGCTCAATCTTGTCCTGTCTAAAAATAAAACATTTCTGCCCGAGGCTTTATGTGGGCAGGCTCGAAGGTGTTCCTATTAGAGCAGGGTTTTTCTTTTACATCTGCATCTCTTCAGTTCATGTCTATACTGCAATATGCTGTAGTATACTAGAATACTTAGGCGATGATAGTGATGTTCAAACATCTGCCAGCTAATGGCAGACTTGAGGCTTGGCGGTTCTTTGATTTTGAATATCCAAAGAAATCTCCTTTTTTTTTTTTTTTTTTGAGAATAACAAGTTTGTAAGACTTGGAGACATTTGGTTTTTCAACAGAACAATAATCCTAGTCACACATCATGAAAACCAGTTTTGGAGATGAGAAGCTAAAATAAAGCTCCTGAAAAGGCATTTTGAAAGCCTCCATGTCTGAACTAGTACGCTGAATAGCAGGTATGTGTTAGGAAACTACCCTGTCGTATGAGCTCTGTCACTTCTGCTGCAGGAAATGTTAATTACACCAGGACCTTGTTGACGACCACTGTAAGTGTGTAAAACATAACCGGATAGTATGGGAGTTCTGTGCTAGCATGAGCCTGTATGTATAATTTTGTTTACACACACACACACACACACACTCAAATGTGTGGATTAGAGAGAATGCACAATACTGTACATGCTTGTTGCAAATAATTAAAGTTGTGGGCTGTAAACTCAGCTGCTCAAATGAATAATTACTTAACATTTACCAATATGAATCATTATGATGGGTGTATGTAAACTTCTGACCAGATCTATATATTTAAACCTCTGTTGTACTCTTTTTTTTCCTCAACATTTTTAAGAAAGCATAACTAACCTTTATAAATGTGAATAGGCATAAAATAAGGTTTCCTGAACTATCTAGTTTTTTTTAAACTTGGTAGTTAAAACACTTTTTGCTCAATCTATTTCCTAAAATGAATGCAGTATTGCAGTGGTTAGGGGTTAACCTAAGAAAAGAAAAAGCACTGAAGAAAGATGGCATAATAACTCTTGGGTTCATAATCAGAAATATTAAAAATGTGTGAGTGAACTAAGCCCAAATCCTGTTTTTTTTCAAACATCCAAAACAAACTGATCCCCATATTATTCTCACTGTAAAATTACCTTAAAGATAAAATTCATTTTCAAAACAAATACAATTCTGTGACTGTGAATTTGTTTTACTTTTCATCTTGTGGAGCAAATATTCCCACGGAGAGATCTCAGTTAATGTTCGACTCTGAGAAAAGCAAAAATTCTGTCCCAGGTAGGACCCACCGTCCCCGAGGACAAAGAGGACAAAGGTGGGCTGCATCATGCCACACCCATCCTGTCTCAGTGAACAGAGGGAAGTGCACAGTTTACAACACTGGGCGTTGAATTATTCATAAATATGTCTGCTGAGTCATACATGGATTCCCTGCATTATTGGGATCCATGTCAGTCATTCATTTTAAAATGCTGACAAAGCTATGCCTGCATCCTTGGTCAGACACATCAAGACATGTAAGAGATGTGATAACATGAAGCTGCAGCGGCGTGTGTGTGTGTATATGTGTGTGTGTATGAACACAGCACCTAAAAATCAGCTTTCAAAAACTGGATCTTACCTGAAGATGTGTCGATTGTGTCATCAGTGCACAGGATCCGCTCAGCAGCCCGGCGTGTTTGGTCTTCAGTCTGTCTCTGTCTGAGCTCGATGCAGCTCGGCATACGCATGGGGCTCGAGATGACATCACAGCCCCTCACTTAACGGCTGCTGTATTTCTAAAATTAACCCGGGCATCTTCTGTGCGCTGCCCAAGCCCGGTCAGAAATTTTGCAGCAGACAAGTTCCTGTGAAGAATTTTCTCTTTTTGTTTTTTCATAGGCTAACTTTATCGAGAACCTATGTCTTTGTTTCTACACAGATTCCTTACATCTCAAATTCTTCAAAG